ATAGCACAGGGGAAGTATATACAAGATCTTGTGGTGGCTCACAGCGAATAAAACGCAACAATGAATACATGTATGTTCATGTATAACTGAAAAATTGTGCTCTACACTGGAGACTGACACAACATTGTAAACTGACTATAACTCAATTAAAATGTTTTTTTAAAAAAGAAAACAATAAAATCATTATTTTGAGATATCTGTTCTTTGTGACTAGCAGTAATCTTTTACCAAGATGTGTACTTGACCACATGTATTTCCCCAGCCAAAAAAAATCACATCCACACTGGCTCCTCCGCGACCTCTCTGGAGCAGTTTACTCAGAGCTCCTGAGCGGCTGTCTCCTAGGCTTAATCCTCAGTAAGACCCTGATAAAACTTACACTCGTGTCTTCTGTGCAGTGCAAACTGGTGACAGCTGAGGCCCTGCGACCCCCTAAACTTCCAGCCCTTAGGCACCTGCCTGCTCCTCTTTGGGAGATAAACCCCAGGGGGTGTTCACCTTGGCACAGTTAACAGCCCAGGGAAATGACTGGTCTCGCTGCAGCTGAGGCTGACCTGTCCCAACCCGTGTCCCCTCCTTAACAGAATTATAAATTCCACTACCTTGCTTGCACCAGCCCATGTCTCCATCTTACTGGAGTTACAAATCCACTATATACCAAACCCCCTACCTCACTTACAGCCAATCAGAAATCTGTTCCCCTATCCCCTGTGTTCACGGCCCCTTCCTCAATAAAAGATGCTGCACGTTCCCACTTGATGGACACTCAGGGACCTCCTGCCTGTGTGGCTCACTGCTGCTTTTTGCAGCATATTATTAAACTCTCCTTTGTTCTTGAAATTCTCCCTTTCTCGTAAATTCTTACCAACCCATGTCACTGGCTCCACCAACTGTCCCCCAACATCTTATGTTGTGTATTTTTCTTTAAGCTGACACTTCCAAATGAGGACCCCAAGGATTCAACTGGTCTCATTCCTGGACCCGTGACTCTTGATCCATGGCTCTGACCCATGCTTCCCCACCACACGTCCTCACTCCCAAAGCCCCAAGCTCCTATCTCCTCTGAGGGACCTCTGTGTGTGGAAAGCATTTCCCCAAACTCGCACAGCACAGCGGGTCACTGGTGGAGAATCAAGGTCAGCCGACTTCCCAAGCACACAGAACCCCTGGGGCAGCCAAGGCAAGGATTCGATTTGTAAAGAAAGAAGTGGTCCCTCTCACCTGTGCTCTTTGAGTGTACTGGGAGATGGGATGTGTGCCAGCCCAGTTCTCGGCCTTGAGAGTGATGCGCTTTACGACCCCAGGCCCTGTCCCCTGGAGACACTGTGGAAATGGCCCATGCCCAGGCGGGGCTGTAAGAACTTGGAGAATTCCCTTCGTGGTGTGGGCCACTGGACACACTGCTGGGGGAATGGATGTCCCTGCTCCATGGCAGAGCTGCTCCAACCTCCTTTTCCTCTCTCCCTTGTCACTTACACTGTGTCTGTTCCTCCCAAGGCCCCTGACTGCACAGTCTGTTTCTGTTTGTGCATGCCTATGTGATTATGGAAATACAGAGAGAAAAATGGTCCGAATTGGGAGGTGATGGTAGAGGTTCACCAAGATCATAGGGTCTTTTATTTCCAAACCAAATATGATAGGAGGGATTAAGTACTGGCCTAGGAAGCTGAAATCATCACTTTTCTTCTGGATTCTGTCCACATATCACGCCCTAAGCCAGTCTCTACTTCCTTCTGGGCCTCGGTTTCCCCAGAGAGTTTGGATGCATAAGTGCATAAGCACGTGTATGGGTGGGCATGTCCTCAGGCTCCATCATCAACCCTGGATGGGTTGTTGGTGTGTGTGGACTCAGGCAGACAGAGGTGCACATGACCCCTCACAAGGACAGATAAAGGTGAACAGATAGCAAGAGTGGTCGGGACTCCTGCCGAGGTCCCAGGACAAACAAGTGGCCACAGGCAGGCTCCAGAAGAGTGAGTGCCTCTGAGACTCACCTCTTTGCACAAGCATGTGCAGTGGACTAAGGGCTCTGCTCAGGAGGTGAGCTCTTGGTGATGCTCCCACCTGCAGCATCTAAGCGCCCACATCCTCTGGTTCCCTGAGGGCAAAGAGAATTCACATCGAAGTGGTTCTCAGCAATTCAATAAGGGTGGAAGTGATATTTGCCATGTACAAGTTCATTTCCCCTTTACAATTGAGTGGAATAAACCCAAGGGATCTACCAAGAGTTGAAGCAACATGTTGATGATGGCAAATCCACACATTGAAGTTCATTGGGCCCCTGAGTCTCTGACTGGAGGGAAATCAACAAACAGTCATGTGCTATTTGAAAGCCTATGTTGAGGTGTTATGTGAAACAAACAGAAGTTTATTAAAAGATCAGATGACAGATACCTTCATGTGTATCTGTTACAGCAGTTAACCTGAACTTAAAGTCAGAAATAAAAGAATGCTGTGAAGAAAGTTTTTCAATAAAGAGGCTATGCCAAAATCTAAAAACAGCAAATACCACTTGAAGTTCTGAAAGGATAAAGTAAAAATATAATTCCTAAGTTTATTTAAGAAACATAGATCAGAATATGAAAATGAATATATGAATATTCATGTATAACTGAAATATTGTGCTGTACACCAGAAATTGAGACATTGTAAACTGACTATAACTCAATAAAAAAGAAACATAGATCATGTTGTAATTTTTTGATATTGAAGATGTATCATATTTTAAATCTATGACCATTATTTTGTTTCATCTATTTTATAGCTAGTATGAGTGCAGATTACTTTCTTGTGCATAAAAATATAGTTGAATACAAAGGGTCATGAGCATAATGTTCTTCCTTATTTCTTCATATTTTGAGAGGAATTGCTAAATGAGGGGAAAGGAGTTTGATTCCCTCTGACAAGCTCCAAGGATGACAGATGCATGCCTCTGCTCCAGATACCCACTGCTTCCTCTGGGTCTCAATTCCCAGAGGGGGACAAGTTCAAAGGGTTTTCATGTTCATCTTCTGCTTCGGTTACTTGTGATTACGAACAAGATTGCATAGCAGTGTATCACGGAGGATTTTATTGTAAGCGGAGCTGCGGTTCCCTGTGCTTAATAGGTTGATGATCCAGGGGAGAATCCAATAGTGGAAACTAACAGCTCTTTTCTAGGGGCTGAATAGATGGGATTTTTTTCAGGTGGCCCAAAAGGCTTATGACTCTCTTGTTCTCCAGGCTATGGCTCCAAAGAGTGAGGTCAGTCCCAGTCAAGAGAGCAGGCATGGCTGCAGCAGTGATACCTGTCACCAGTGCCATCAAGAAAGAGGCTGGGACATTGACATACTAAGCCATGTAACATCCAGGGGCGGGGGCACATTGTCCTCCTCTAGTTCTGAGCATCCGGCTCTGCCCTCAGTGGCCAGCAGGTGGAGCTAGACGCCGCCCTTTCGGCCGTGTGCGGAGCTCTTGCCCAATCCGCCCCTTACTTGGTGGCCATTCTTCCCTGAGGTCAAGAGATTTTTCTTCCCCCAGACACACTGTGAAGGCACCACAGTGGCTTTGGGACAAGTGCCTGCGTGTGGCCACGCCTGCAGGAAAAGGGGGCTTGCTGTCTGTGCCCGGACATCTGAGGAGGGACTGTGGAGCGCTTGTCCAAGGAGAATTTTTCTTAAATAGCTGCCCAGAGCCTTCCTTTTCTGGACACCCTCGCATGGTTTACTCTCTACTTTTGCAGGTAGCATTTTACTAAGATTTATTTTATAACAGGAGCCCATCTTTAAGGGCTTGGTGGGAGGAAATGCATGCTATGGGGGTTGTCATGGACTTGGGTTTGTTTTGTCAGAGAAAACCCTGCACAGATTCAGAGACGGAACCATGTGTATAATCGTGAAATGAAAAACACAAGTTAGAGCAACCTTCCAGACCATCTACTTGCGTTCATGGCACAGAAGAGTGTTTGCCTCCCCTTATGCTCAAGGGCACTGAACTATTCACTTACTCTCTGGTGCAAAAGATCTTTACAAAACACCTGTTATATGTGGACAATGTACCTAGAATTTAAAATTAGTTGGAAAATATTGAAAAAGTAAATAGAGGCATATTAAAATACATTACTTTAAATTTCATATTTTAAGTATGTCAAAATCAGAATTTTCTATAATTTCACCTTTCTGGCTTTAAAGGGCTACAAATTATCTATAACACATTTAAGATATACTTCTTAGCTTATCGTGTTTTCAAGTTAAAATATCACCATGCTTGATATTTTCTCACAACACAGTGACCATCCTTAGTATTTATAAATATTAGCTCACTGAAACATCTTTTGCAGGATTCCAATGTGACCTGTTCTGTTAAAACTAAAAATACTCAGGTGACTACCAAGTTTTTTATGAGTGTGTAATAAAAATATTGTTAATCACTTTCAGAAGATCCAAACACAGTTGTGATCTTTAAAATACTAACCACTGCATTACTTAAGACAATTAAAGATGAAATATACTAAAACCCATAGCTTCAACATATTTAAGAGCCAAGACAATGTTTTTTTTTATAATTTAGATACATTTATTGTAAATAAACTTTCTGCTAATAAAT